CAAACATTAATTGTGAATAACTTTATAAAGGATTACATGTGTAATGGATACAAAATTTTGTAAATTGTAACCGAAGTAGATCTCTCCTTTGATTAGAATGACAGATTTACGCATGTGAGTTAAGGCTAGGTATAGGCGTTTCTATGCAAACAAGCTAGGAAAAACGCATAAGAGGTATATTTATTATTCAGAGAAAGCTTTGATTTATTTTTTATATTAATTTTACATTTCCAAATATGTTTCCTTAAGATTCTTTGTAAATTAGAGTATTGTTCATTTTCTCATGAACTACAATGGATGAGCATGAATATGTCCATTGTTACGACATACTACCGTACTTGACGTCAGAACTATAGTGCAAACTGTTTTGCTTTAAAATAATGTAAATATAAGAAATGAATTTAATTTTTGAAAATTCATGAGGTACATGAACTACGGACGCTTCACGCCGGAATATTTATCATGAAGCGCTAACGCGCTAAATGCCCTCATGAATCTTCAAAAATTAAATTCATTTCTTAAAGGTAGGTCGCGGGTTTACTGCTTAAAAATTCTTACGAGAAAACATATCCTGAAAATTTGATATAATGTTCCTTAGAATTTAAAGCATTTTACCTGTAATTTTTATCAAAGGACAAGTGCACTTAAGTAATAGAGAATAGGCCCTTTTTCAGTGCCGTTTTAATACAAAATACTTTACCAAATCTTTGTCTCTTGTTAATAGTTAAACGCTGGTGGATATTTCTAATTCAAAATCACGTTAAACATCACCTAAATCAGCATGGATTTTAAACAATAGGAGGTTTTCAAATGCCTATAGAGACACCAAATCCGGAAAAGTCGTACCAGACCTATTTGAGTTTGTCTATTTAAATCAGGGGGAGGAGACATTTAAATCGGCACTTGAACAATCTGGTGGTCGATCATCGACGGGCGAGTTTGCCGAATTATACGTCTTGCGTTATCTATATATAAAAAAAAATCGAATGAAGCTGTATCGTTGCCTGTAGCCATAGTGATCAAACCAGTGGCGGATCCAGGAATTTCATAACGGGGGCGCAGTAGAAGGCAGGGGGGTCAGGGGGCTGCATTGAAGCCCCCAGCGAGTCCAGAGCAAAGCCCTAGTGGGGGTCCGGGGGGGACTGACGAATTCTAACAAATAAGGTGTTTTTTCATTTGATTTTAGGATAATACAAACAAAATTTAAAAAAAAATTCAAACGGGGGGGGGGGGCACGCCCGGCGCGCCGGCGCTGGATCCGCCTTTACAAACTAAGAATTTTGCACGATTACATTTGAAATAATACAATTTTATTAACATTATTTTTTTTTGGCCAATTTCAAGTAACAAAAGGGTATAGGTGTATAGAGAGAACTGTTTTACTGTACTACCATTTAAGAACATATCTTGATTTATTTGTTATCGATCTTATTTAAAACCAGTAAAGCTGAATATATGAGTAATATTGAGTCCAAAAAATTGGTGCAAATTATTTTCATTTAGTGTTTTAATAATTAACTTCAAATAAATTGTTGATTAATTATTTTTTCCATCTGTATTTTTAAGAAACCCATTAAACTGGAAACAAGCTTTGAAGCTTTAATAGGTTATCCTGATATAAAATATATGTACAGTCATGGATGTAATTTATTGTATTTATTTATAACTGCGTATAATATTATGGCTTTCAATACCGGTACCATCGTCTTTCATTAATGTTAAAAATGTTTGACATTTTTATGTATGATATTTTTAAACGACACTATACTCTATTTACCCTCCCGTTCTTCATAAAACCAAATGCATTAAAACATCTCTAAAGCGGCACGACTTTGGCGAACGATTCATGTATAAAACGTGGCTGTGTTTTACGGTGAGCACTTTTGAGGAATGTGTACCGGGTAGAACTCACGTGACTATTTAAAATAATTTATTCCACAGGTGGGTTCAACAAAGGTCACACAGGTAAATAGCTCTCGCCTGCTATTGGAAAAACAGCGAACTTTCCATACATTTTTAATATTTTAATTACCAGCCTAATCTTGTACAAGTTTCCTACTTTTACTCAAGTTTTATAAATGTATAATGCGTCTTCTGTCTTTGGCGCAAGTTTGTACAGCGTTAGGCTGACAATAAACAAAGGTTTTGAAATGAATGCCCGTTCTCGATTCACTATAGAAAATCACAAATGTCGGCTGACCCCTACCACTTTGTATGGCTTTGCTCTTTGTATAAGTATGAATTTCAACGCTAAAATTTGTTGAATCTTATAGTTTAGATATCAGCTGATGATGTGAGATGAAAAATTTTGATTAATTTGAATCTTCATTTTTTCACCTTTTACTGGGGCCCATAAGTGCACTTGTTCTTTGTCTACGTAGTTTTAATGCTGTATTACTGTAAACGCGGTATAGTTTTAAGTACTATTTTTACGCTTTACTATTGAAATATATAGAAAAATGACGTTTTTAAGCCAATTTTGCGGAAAGAGTTTCTTAAAAAAAGGTTGGATAACTTTTAAAGACGTAGACGAATTAGTCAGGAATTTCAAAATATCCAGATGAGTTAAAATTAAAACTATTGAGATAAAAAAAATCAATATGTCTTCTCGCTAGTTTTTTTGCAAAATAATTTCAATGTTTGCTTTTATATTGCCAAAAATGTTGCGTTTATGGCGTTATTTTTGACTACAACGTCATTTATTTACATTTAAATTTTCTTCGGATGTTACAGATAATTATAGCAGTAATTTCCTTTAATATGATCAATTATTTTAATACCATACCCTGCATATTTCAGGTATCACACCACGGTTATCGACCAGTCAAGATGTTAATTGTTCCATGCATATAAAATTAATTTTTATTTCTTTTGAGAATTTTTTTTTGTGGGGGGGGGGGGGGTTCTTCCAGCCTATTTTTACAACTTTGATACCTGTGCCTAGTAGATTTTATGTACTTTGTAAATAAATAAAGGTTTTTTTGTCAGGAACTATTCTTTTTCAGGGCATAGGAGGCTACTTCCTGGGGTGCACTTGAGATGTTTATATATAACACATTGAAAACGCGTGGATCAGCCCATTCCACCCGTATATATCGTAAGACATATATTTATGGGAAAAAACCTGTGTTTTTCATTGACTCCACTTGCATGATCAATGAAATCGGTGAAATTAATAATATTGTGACGTAGGCCTACTTATACTTTCTAACATAAAATTAAGGATTACAAGGTAATTCCAATATTCATTTCAATTTCCATTTTTACTTTACTTTGTTTATTGTTTACTCGTATTTTTTCAATAATTATACTAGCAAGTTTCATTTTAAATTCATCATTATTGAGCACCCCCCACACACAATTAAAGACCTGGCTCATATTGTTCTCTGAACATAAAGTTTTAAAGCTTTAATTTTAAATCTGTAAAAGTTTTGGATCCTTCCCAAATCACTGCTGGCATCGTTTGTCTCGGTATCACTGTCATACATGTATAAAGATTAGCGTTAATTGAATTCAGTCTAAATCTAAATTGGAGAAAATCCACAGAATTTCGTGTCGTGGATGTTATTAATCAAGCGCGGGTTGAGTCAGTGGTAGTGTGTATGTACGGCACAGGTACAGTCGCAGATGTTGTACATCAGGCACAGGTATACAGTCATAGATATACAAAATGTATGCTGTAGTAAATGTTACTTTTTAGAGATAATAGCGATCCATGCAATGGATTTAGGCATAGTCAAGTTTACATAATTATATTTTCCTCGATATATTCACTAAACCAGTTATTGTTACCGTTTTGGCGATTACAGCCTTCCATAAAGTAGATTTATTTAAAATCAGAAATTTTCTTTCCTCCATATTAACACATTTCGTATTTTTCATTAAAAAAACAATCCATACTTAATTAACAACATATATAGTTTAATACGTTTAACAATCCGGAAAATCTTGAGCAGGTACAGTCATGGATGTCCGGTACCAGCACTGCCGAGTACAGTTGCGGATGATAGCTGACAGCCACTGTTGTTTACACCTTGCGTAATTTGTCAAAATCTACGGCGAACAGTTAGTGCAATATTTATATTCGATTATATTCGATTGTCCGTCTCAGATGTATATATAAGTAATAAATAACAAGTTTAAAAACTTCACTGGGAATTGAAGTGGGTCGCTACGTGATCAAATCTTCTGAGAAAGCCTTCGGCCTTCACAGGATTTGATCACGTGACCGACCCACTTCATTTCCCAGAGAAGTTTTTAAACTTGTTATTTATTTCTTAAATATTATAATCTTGTGTAGTAAAGAACAATGACTTCATAAAATGACGTCATAATGTGTACTGGCTATCTCTTGTCGTGGGTACCAACAGAGACATATCTCTGGTACCAAGTATGTATTAGACAGTAAGTTTTAACTTTCTTTGTATAATAGATATAGTCCTTAGGCATTTTAATAAGTTTATTTGCATAGAAATGTCTATACCTAGCCTTAACTCCCCTGCGTAGCAGCCAACTCTGCTTTATTAATTAGCAATAGTTTCAAGCCAGATGAGAGAATTTCTGAACACTAACACTGAATGAAAACAAGTTTATTACAAGTTCAGGGAGCTGGTATTTGAATAACTTTGTTTTCTCCTTTCATTTTACAGTATTTTAATTTATTTATTTTAACCCTTTTATTTGAACTTTTTTTAATGTTTCCAATTCTGTATGATTAAAAAAATAATTTTCTGTTAAAATATTAAATCATTGTAAACATAAGATCTAACATTACTGTTTGCTAAATAATCGCATTTTAATTTCTTTTGTTCAGTAACAGTCCAGTTTTGAAGGATATCAGTACTGTCAGACAGTCCGAAATTACACTTAATATCAGACTGCTGACTAATATCGGACTGCCACTGATAAATTTTTAGACTGAAAGAACAAAGAATGAAATCACAGCAATGTTAAGTTTTAACAATAGATAAACTTTTAAAACAAACACACTTTCTTTCCAGATGGCTCTATCAAAACCACAATTAACAGGTACACCTCAACACTTTTTAGAGTGTGGTATCGAAAACTGTGAGAGAAACTGTGAATTTTACTGCAACTTTTGCCACACAAGATTATGTAAACAATGCAGAAATGTACATCTGAGAAGTCCAGAAACGAAAAGTCATGAAGTGGTCCTATACCGGGAAAGGAAACGACAATTGCCAACAGAAAAATGCAAGATCCACCCCATCGAGTTTATAAATTTTCTTTGTGAAGAATGTAAAATTCCGCTTTGTTCCAAATGCACTGTCACACCAGAACACAGAGGTCACACATTCACTGATCTGGAATCAATTTATACAGAGAAGTTTTCCCATTGTCAAGGAGAAATTGCAAAAATTCATGAGTATTATCTGCCAACATCTAAAGATTTACAGAGAGAAATTAACGAAGAAGCAAAAGAAATCAAAAAGATCATGGACAGCTTAAGAACCTCCATAAAGGCTGATGCAGAGTCACTAAAAAGTATGGTGGACTCGGAGACGTCTGAACATATGGAAGAAGTGAACAAAATAGAGCATTCATTATTGGAAAAGTTAAATAACGAAGACACAACGATTGAAAAATACATTACCTACCTCAATGACCTGGACAAAGAGTTCATTGTTTATATGTCCTCTTTAAAACCTTCAAAACTTGTTACTGCAGAGGATATGCAAATCCAACCCATACCAGAAACAACAAAACCAGTGATGCCTGCATTTACTTCTGGGAAGTACCACAAAGAGGATATTGCTGAATTACTGGGGAAAATAACTTTTTCAAACATAAAAGAAGAGATGAGAAAAGTAAAGCCCCTAAAATCAAAAATTCCTACATCACATCCGAAACTAACAAGCTATCAAGTAATGGAAGACAGTCAACCAACATCAAATGTGAAACAAACACTGTCCCTATCCTTCTCTGTCACTAAGGTCAGGCAGTTCAATGTACCAGGTGTTGACTGTGTCTTCCATATGTCACTAGGTCAGTCAGGCAGACTCTGGGTCAGTGAAATTGAAGGTAATCTTGTCCAAGCAGATCTACAGGGTAATCAGATACAGAAGATACAAACCAGTAAAGGACTTGGTTACCACACAGTGACACAGGATGGGGATCTGATCTTTACAGACATGTACTGTAAAGACATCAACAGGATAACACAGGATAACAATATCACTGAATTCATTAAAACAGGAGACTGGATACCTATCAGTATACACTCCTCCCACATCAATGGGGACATACTGGTGGGGATGGAGAAGGATGGAGAGGCTAAAGTGACCAGGTACAACAAGACAGGAAAAGAACTACAGAACATACAGAGGGATAACAAAGGACAGGAACTGTATATTACACCATACTACATAACAGAAAACATTAATGGAGATATCTGTTCATCAGACTACGAAAAAGAGGCAGTAGTGGTGGTGAATAAATCAGGACAATACAGATTCTCCTACACAGGTCAAGGGTCAAGGTTCATTCCCTTTGGAATTTGTACTGATCTCCTCGGTCACATACTGGTGTGTGATAAAATAAATGTCCACCTCCTTGTTCAGGATGGTCAATTCTTATTTCTACTACTCACACGACAACACGTATCTAGTCCCACTAGTGCATGTGTGGATGATGAAAACAATGTTTATGTTGGACAATATGATAAAACCGTAAAAGTGATTAAATATCTCCAATGATGTTTACTCAATCAATTGTAACGGGATTTGCTTTTTACCGTCGGTCCTAGGTACCAATCACGGCACTAATGTAACCAAATTTCGTTACACGGTACCTAATATGTAATTAGAAAATTACACCATACCAGTTTACGAAAATGATCGTACGAAGATTTTTCTTTTATTCTCATATGAACTCCTTAAGTAACACATATTTTTTTAATCAATAATAGTACTTCGTGTTTTTATTTCAAGCTCTTACTAACCAATAAACCTGTAGTATTTCAAAAAGTCACGCATGTGACTTACCAAACCAAGAATTTTAATAACAAGAGTTTGCAAATTAACAAGTATTTATTAACAGCACAAAATATTTACATTTATATATTTACTGATGCACTAACGACCTAATCTTACTAATGAGCCTCAATAAAATACAGTGCCTACCTAACAAGTGTAAAAGAAAATCCGGAGCCCGTCCTACCCAATGCTAAACCTGAAGAGAATCTACTATGCCTAACCTAACCTAACCTGCTTACCAAAAAATAGAAATAAGGAACCGGAAAATTAACACTAAAGTGGACATGTAAATGAACGAGACAATTGGGCAAGTTGAACGAATTGAACAAAACAGATGGAATTGAGAGAAACAAAGACAGAGACCGGGATCCACCCCTATTAGAAAGTGAGCTGTACAGGCCTTTGAAAAGGTTCCAAACCAGCGGATTTACGCGTGAAATGCTTGACTTTAAATACACTGCGGTCTGAAGGTGTGTCTCTCTTATCCATTCAAAATCTACATCCTATCTATAACCCAGACAAGGACGTTTCCCAAATCATTGTGTAAAACTAGAAAGTTTCCGATTTTATAAAAAAAAAAAAAAAACGATCTTATCCAATCCTTTACTAACTCCTTTACTAACTAATCCAATCCTATCACACAATGAACACAAATCAAAGTATTATACTTCATTTACATAGAGGGTTAATTTGCAAATATTTCATATTTCTTTTCTTTGTATTTGTATTTTCTGTTTTTATATATGAGAACTTTTTCACATCCAGACCATATTGTAAAATTGAGTCAGAGAATAGTTTACAATATTCATTATAGTTGGGAATTTTGTTTTCTTCTGTAGAATTTTATATATTTTACTTTTTAAAAATTAATATTTGAAATGTTTTTTTTTGGGGGGGGGCGGTCCAAAAAATCGATGTTGGACCGCTAAGCGAGATATTGGACCGATCGATGAGATGTAGCTGTTTAAGCATCAATAATTCACATATGTTTATAGTGATAAAATGATTGAGGAAATACCGGTGGATTAAACAGGAGACCCATGGGCGACATCACTCACCTTAGCATTTTGGCTAGAGAAAAGCAGACATCATTTCAATATTGAAAAGTTTAAATGTATAAGTAGCCCCTACCCTCCTGGGAAGGGGCAGGGGAGGGAGTCCTGATTTGAACAAACTTGAATCTATACTACCCAAGGCTTCCATATAGATATGACTGATTATAACTTTGCTGATCTTGAGAAGAAGATTTTTCCTTTGTTTTCTATGTAACACTTTGATTGCCCATAGTGGTCCAACCCTACCCCTGAGGGTCATGATTTGAACAGTTCTGCCTACACTTTTTATTGCAGAGGTGTAATCTATATCCTCATTTTGGTAAAATTTGTGACAAAGGCGTAATTTCCATATTTTCCTATTTTGATGTCTCAACGTAATTCTATACTCTTTGTTGCATATCTACGGAAGCGTATTAGGGCCGCAGCAGTATCTTTTATTAATTTGTTTTAACAAATTACTAATTTGTTATAACAAATTACTAATTTGTTATAACAGATTACTAATTTGTTATAACAAATTATCAATTTGTTATAACAAATTATCAATTTGTTATAACAGATTACTAATTTGTTATATTATACTTTCATGTAAATTAGTTGAATCTGATTCGTCGAGAAACATTTGTTAAAAAACACTATTACCCGCTGAATAATGAAGCCACGCCCACCAGCGTAGCAACAGTTAACATTGCTTGACGACGGGTGTTATTCCAAAAAATAGCAACTGCGCAGAATTTATGCGCGCAAGGTTCACTGTTATATGTATTTGTATAAAACATTCAGTATAATATAATAAATATTGCATGTAGTTGAGTGTAACATTGAAAATTTCCTACCCAAGAAAACCATTGTCAACCGAGGCGCAGCCGAGGTTGACAATGGTTTTCGAGGGGTGGAAATTTTCAATGTTACACTCAACTACATGCAATATTTATATAATAACAGATTACTAATTTGTTATAACAGATTAGTAATTTATTATAACAGATTAATAATTTGATATAACAAATTATCAATTTGATATAACAAATTATTAATTTGTTATAACAGATTACTAATTTGATATAACAGATTACTAATTTCTTATAATAGATTACTAATTTGATATAACAAATTAGTAATTTTTTTTAACAAATTGTTAATTTGTTATAACAAATTGATAATTTGTTATAACAAATTACTAATCTGTTATAACAAATTACTAATCTGTTATAACAAATTATTAATTTGTTATAACAAATTAGCGGTACTATTTTTGACAAAACAGATCTACGGAAGCCAGATCAGATCAGAAATCTTATTTTAAATCGGTTTTCTGAAGCATAAGCTTTGAAGAGCTTTTGATCAATATGTTAATATGGATTTAGATCAATTAGCAACTTAGATTAAAGCACTTTATTTTTGGTTTAATTGAAGGTTGTTTTTTTTTAATTTTTGTTTTGTTGTTGTTTTTTTCTTTTTTTGAGTCGGTTTCTTGGAATAAATGTCTCTGTTAGACAATTAAAAGAATAGCTGCATCCCAGAGATTATGTAGAAGTACAGAATGTTGGATCCTTCATATTGAGAAAAATTCGAAGTTCCGGACAATTAAATATGATTTCAACGTCGTCCATTCAAATCAACACTTTTTTCAATGTCAACACAGGGGTCAAAAGGGGAGAAGACCTAATTTTTACTTCTTTATACATGTGTAATATTTTGTTTGTGTTGTTATAACAAATTATATTGCTTAACGATTTCTTGTAAAATATATGAGTAGTCCCATACGAGGTAACCAGGATACAAATTACAAATGAATTTGAAGAAACAACTGTCAAAGTTTTCAGGCAATAATAAGTTAATAAGGCTTTAGTGGGACTTTGAGGGCTTTTCCAAAAGGCACGTATTTTGATTATAAAAATTACATATATACATGAAAAAATTTCACGAGGTATCTAAATTCAAATTTTACGAAGTACTACCCACTCAAGAATATTGTTTATTTTCGTTTTCAGAGAAGGTAATTACAGAGTGTTTATCATTTTTTTCTGTGATAATTTATCTACAAATTCATTTTTGTCAATGTTGCCTTTATTGCCCCCAGCATAATATGGGGCCAAGGAGATTCACCAGAGGAGCAGATTCAGGTTTATGCATAAACTGGATTGAACAGTAGGCATAAATGCCCATAATACTCTCTCCATTTGTCTAAGTACATACATGCATAAAATTAATGGTACATTTAAAAATTGAAAAGCAGTACGTAAAGTAGATCATCATTTGGTACATGTGTAGAGAGAATCGAGATGGGGGGGGGGGTAAAATGAAATAAAATAAAAAGAGAACATATTGAAAAAGAAAACATATTATGTTGATTCAGGGAGGGAAAAATTCCCTCTCAAAATAACATGTCTTAGATAAGATATTTTTATGCCCCGCCATGAATATGGCCGGGGCATATAGTGTTTGTCATGTCCGTCTTCTGTCCTTCCGTCGGTCCTTCCGTCACACTTTGCGTTTAGCTCTGTTCAAAGCTCAGTTTCAAAGAAACTATCCAAGAAATTTTAATCAAACTTCATATGTTGATACATACTGATGTAAGCTATTCAACTGCATCAACATTTCTTGACCTTGACCTTTCTTTTGACCTTGACCTCACTTTTCTTAAATTAGTGTTTAGCTCAGTTTTAAAGATACCATTCAAGATAGTGTAATCAAACTTCATATGTTGATACATACTGATGTAAGTTATTCAAATGCATCAACATTTTTTGACCTTGACCTTTCTTTTGACCTTGACCTCACTTTTCTTAAATTAGTGTTTAGCTCAGTTTTAATGAAACCATTCAAGATATTTTTAACAAACTTCATATGCTGATACATACTGATGAGAGCTATTCAACTGCATCAATATTTTTTACCTTGACCTTTCCTTTGACCTTGACCCCACTTTTCTTAAATAAGTTTTTAGCTCAGTTTTAAAGATACCATTCAAGATAGTGTTATCAAACTTCATATGCTGATACATACTGATGAGAGCTATTCAACTGCATCAACATTTTTTGACCTTGACCTTTTCTTTGACCTTGACCTCACTTTTCTTAAATTAGTGTCAAACTTTATATGCTGATACACACTGATGAGAGCTATTCAACTGCATCAATATTTTTTGACTTTGACCTTTCCTTTGACCTTGACCTCACTCTTCTTAAATTAGTGTTTAGCTCAGTTTTAAAACCATTCATAATATTTTTATCAAACTTCATATGCTAATACATACTGATGTAACCTTTTCAACTGCATAAACAATTTTTGACTTTGACCTTTCATTTGACCTCACTTTTCTCAATTTGTTTTAAAATGTTGCATTACTAATATACCCTCGGCGGGGCATTCATGTCCTATGGACATATTTCTAGTTTTCCTATCATACGAACGGGGATGCAATGACCTGGTTGATGGGAGTCAAGGACGGAGCCCTGGTGAGGGAGGAGGCAAAATTCAATTAGAGCTCCTAAGAATAAGTAATTACGAACCAAAGAATTTGATGCATTGTATCTTTATAACAATAATGTTTGACAGTGAAAACTCTAAGTGCTTAAAGATGTAAATCCAGATTAACATATTGGTCAAAAGCTGTAGCTGCAGAGCTTATATATTTATTGTTTTCACAAATCCAACTTATAA